TGTGTGTGTGTGTGTGTGTGTGTGTGCGTGTGTGTGTGTGTTTCTGAATTATAATTCTGTTAAATGTGCCTTCATGCAGGGCTCACCAGTCTGCTAGCCAATGGTGTGTACACATCTGCTTATCCTCTCCATGATGTGAGTATCACGCTTTTGGGCTCTCCCATGTTTGACTGAGAAGGCTGATGTTTATACACCACGATAATGATTATAGTTCAGTGGGTTTCCTAAAATCTACAAATACTAAGCTGCTTGTACACTATTATTTAAAAAGAAACAAAAAAAACCAAAACATTGTTTACATTTACTCTCAGCTCTCTCTGTGATTTTATGTATTTTTATGTAGCTCAGTTTAAGACGGTAATATTTTTTAATTGTGATGCTGTAATTGGGGCGGCTGTAGCTCAGGTGGTAGAGCAGGTCACCTAATAACCAAAAGGTTGGTGGTTTGATCCCAGTCTGCTGTGTGACTCGTGAATCTACAAGTTGTGTAAAGTGCTGTGTGTGTGTTTTTAGTTCATGGTGTATTGACTTTTATTTCCATGGTGTCTTTCTACTGTTTCATTTTATATCTGCTGTGATTTTGTTGTTTAATTGCTTGTAAAATGTAAATAAAATGTATTATTGTTGTTATTTTTACCAATATTCCTTTTCTACCTAAAGTCAACTAGGGAGGCTGTTATACAGTGGAAATGTGTATAATACTGAATATGAAACCTGTGTGTTACAGGGAGACATTGAAGGGGTGAGTGCAGAACCTAATGACAGGAAGGTAAGTAAATACTTCTTTGTAACAGTATTACACCAAAACATAGTCTATTAAAAAAAATCTCACTTATATTCAACCTAAACTGACTGATGACAAAACTGTGACCTTACACCCTGTTTTTAACTGACAATGGAGTTTGGAAGCTATCGTGGAAGCTCAAGTGAAGTAGAAAAGCACTACGTAATAACTAATAACGAGTCCATTTAGCATTACAGATACTGAATTAACTATCATGTATCTGGATGCACGCTCAATCTTCCAGGTAAGGAAATCACAAAAGGTTGATTCTGTTCATCTGGACGTTTTCAGTGGGAGAAACGTGTCGTCACTCGTCCAGGTGACTTCTTCAGTCTCAGCTGACTGCAGGTTTCCTCTTCCTCTGATGATTGCACATAAATGACACTTGATCAATGGCCATGAGTCCCATTCACAGAGAGTTGGGGAATGGCTCCAATCACAGCACTGTGAGATGGTGAAAGATGTACAATTAGACCCCCTGCTCGATTCAGAGATGGTCTCTCTCTTTTCACGTAAATGGCCTCCTTGACTCACCCTTAAACCAGCGTTCCTCCCTGTCCAGGATATTACATCCTCATCATTGAAAGAGTGTCCACTGGCCTGTAGGTGTCACCCACATACCTGAATCAGTGACTTGGTCGTGTTCCTGGATAGGATAACATGGCCCTCTTTTCTACTTCTTCTATGTACAAGTTGGCCACGATGGGTGAAACTGGGGAGCCCATGGCACACCTGCGTTTCTGTCTGTAGCACCGGCCCTTGTATGTGAAGTAGGTGGAATGAAGACACCGTTCAAACACACATGGTCGATGCTGAGATCGGGGTCATCCTGTAATCTCTTACGCACTACGTCGACTGCTTCAGTGACTCGAACACAAGTAAGAGAGACGTAACATCATACAACACCATGGTTTCATCTGCCGCCATAATGACATCTCTCACCTTCTCAACAAAATCTGAAATGTTGTGGATGTGGTGCTCAGAGTTGCCCACCAGCGGGTTGAGGACTGAAGCCAGAAACTTGGAGATGTTACAGGTGACAGAGTGGATCATACAGACTATTGGTCTTAAAGGTGCACCCTGTTTATGTAACTTTGGTAAACCTTTCAGACTTGGTGTAGCTTCCCTCTGGTTATATTAGTGATCAAAAACTGCTCTCACAGCCATTGTTCATGTAGTGGGCTGGTTTCAGTCGTTGTGCAAATGTACTGTTTATAAGGTTGGGGAAACCTGCAGTCAGCTGAGACTGAAGAAGTCGCTTGGATGAGTGACGAAACGTTTCTCCCCCTGAAAACGTCCAGATGAACAGAATCAACCTTTTGGGCTAACTGTCATGTGCTGTCCCCCTGCTAGAATTAGGAAATGAGAATGTGCAGAGCTAATGCAGCCAACTGCTTTATAACTGCATCATATAGCCGTTGAGTGTGGGTATGACTATATATGTGAATGGTTGTCTGTTTCTGTGTCAGCCATGTAATAGACTTCTGATCCCCGAACCCCCAATAATGAATGGATGGATGATTATGAAATTAATCAATAAATTTCTAAATAAATGTTATTGCATTAGGACATATAACGTGAAACTGATAAAAACTGATTCAATTCAATTTTATTTATATAGCGCCAAATCACAACAAAAGTGGCCTCAAGGCGCTTCATAGATAAAAACTGATAAATCTGCAAAAAAATAGCCTCTAATTCTTTAAAAAAAAAAATATATATATATATATTTGTAGCATGTGATATATTTATTGAGTCGTGCTTCTGTTCACAGCTCCTGTACGAACAGTGGGCAAGCTACAGTGTCTTCTACAAGTACCAGCCCATTGGACTTATCAGGTGAGATCCATATCTGGCATAAAATTGCTGACAGGAAATGCAGTTTGCAAAACCACAATTTATTTGTCCTCTGACTTTAAATTGAGGAAATTAATTTTAATCAGATAGGTCTTGTAATTATGACTTTAATAGTGGCATACATGACCTATTTACATGGAATTAAGCTCAACTATTCAGGAATCACAGTTAATTTCGCAGTGATGGATTTGACAGTGATGTGACCTCTGTATCTCCTCTCACCCAGGAAATATTTTGGGGAAAAGATTGGACTGTATTTTGCCTGGTTGGGAGTCTACACACAGATGCTGATCCCTGCTGCCATCATTGGAGTAATTGTATTTCTCTATGGCTGTGCTACTGTCGATGATAACATACCTAGGTACGCTGGACATATTTATTTATTTTTTATTGCCTTTATTGCAAGTGTCAGCTTGCTATGATTCCAATTCTGTCTAAAACTCACCGCAGGTACAGTAGGTAACATTTTTGTGATTTTTTTTGACCTGTTGACATTTGCATCACAAACGGAGTGAACAAATTTCTCATTTTCATGTCTTAATAACAAGAAGAACGTAGCCAGGAGTACAAGAAAGCGTAGGTCTACAGTAAAGAGAGAGGTGGCAATGGAAAAGGCTTAGAGTGAGTTGTATGTGGAGCTAGAAGCTAAGAAACGAGAAAAGGACTTGTACCAAGCCAGAAAGGGTGTGCAACAGATTTTAGGTTTGACAAAAATGGAAATGTGCTAAGAAATGACGGAAATGTGTTGAGAAGATGAACGAAGTACTAGAGGACTGTTGGTAAATCAGGAGGTGGAGAGGATTAGTAAGGAAGAAGTGAGAGTGGGATGAAGAGTGCATAGGAAGTATAGCAAGTTGGTCTCAGTAACAGACGGGAAGGTGTCTCCGGCTTTTGGCTTAGACTGATTCATATCTGAAATCTATTCTTTTTTGTTAGCATGGAAATTTGTGATCCCAGAAACAATATTACCATGTGTCCACTATGCGACCAAGCCTGCAGCTACTGGAAGCTGGTAACAGCATGTGGCACAGCCCAAGCCAGCCATCTGTTTGACAATGCAGCCACTGTGTTCTTCTCTGTCTTCATGGCTCTATGGGGTGAGTACAAATTGCTGTCCAAATATATAGGCAACAACCAGAAAATATGCAGACCACCAACAAATAAAGCTCGTGCAGCAAAGCATCGCTAAAACTGTACCAAATTCAAGACTGCATTGTCTGTAAAGGTTCTCAGTCATCCAGGTCATCGTAGTCTAAGGAGCTCGGAACAGAGGACTGTATTAATTTAAAGCTTTGATCTATGGAACCAGCACCTTTGTTTCAGTGCATTTTTAGTGCCGAATACTGCCAGACTTTATATTTCATATTTTATATTAAGAAATATGAAAGGTGCAATCATACAAGTGGAGTCATCAGCTGTGAGCAATGTAACATCAGCACATCTTATTATGAACCCCTTATATGAATTAACAAAAAGCATTTGGAGGATTGTAAAATGTACATGATTTCCAAATAGTTTTATAAATCCGTACTTTTTACATAAAGGCACTGCTTGCTGTTGATTATGTACATTATGTAACAAAACTTGCATAACCTTATATGAACAGGTACAATAAAAGTATAAAATGTTCATACTCTCTATGGTTGCCATTTATATATACGGAAAATAGCAAGAAACATGTTGCAGCTGGTGTCCGAGCATGCGTTGAGTGTGTGTGTCTTATTATGTAGCTGTTCTCTTTATGGAGCACTGGAAGAGGCGGCAGATGAGACTCAACTATGTCTGGGACCTCACAGGGTTTGGAGAGGAGGAGGAGGTGAGATAACCCCACATGTGTTTTAATGCACAGAGCATAATTGTTACCTAGTGTTAATTAGTAAATAGTGATAATGAATAATAAGTTTGCACTTTTTGCACAAGTTCTTTTTCTGTGCAAATATTACTGTCCATCTTTTTAATGTTAATGTGCTAATTATATTTTTAGGACCACAATAACTACAAAACCTGCACAGTTTGTAGTATAAACGTGTGATGCAAGATGCTAGAAACACAAATGAAATAGAAACTTGAAGTTTGTTGTTGCAGTGCCATATGTGCCAGTTGATCTTTGCTCGTTTTACAAAGTGCTTTGGTCAAACATGAAAGCAGATGTTAAGGTTTAACAACACTCTTCTTCAAACAGAGACAAATATGGATATAAAGGATACAGGAATCTTCTATGCAGCTATCTTAAAAACACATTCCCACAGTAATAAGTAACATAATGGTTGAGATAAGATAAGGTTCCCACACAAACCTTTAGGAGTGAATGTCTTTTAAATTATAATGTACACAGTACAATTCAATACAATATCATATCATCATTATATTACTCTTAAAAAACATGAAATGTTTTTAACTTGACACGTAATCTGATATCGCTTTTATGTTCTTATGTGTTTGGTTTACTTCACAGGGGGAACACAAGGTTTGACTTCTTTTTCACTAACTGTTACAGATCTGTTCTGAAACTACTTTTCTTCTCTTTTAAGGTGTCTAACAGTCTCCATGTGGTCTTTTTACCTGACTTTGTCTCTGTGGTTCAGTTGTGTTGGCTTGACTATCTTTTGAGGTTTGTTCTGAAGATGTGGTCTAGTTAATTAGTTGATCAATACAGCAGTCTTGGCATTTCTAGGACTCACAGCTCGGAAGTTGTCTGACTTTTATCTTTTTTATCCATTTTTTTTATTTTTAGTGGGAATAACTTAGAAATGACCACATTATGACATTCTTGTTTCTTCCTTGTCACCCTGCTATTACAGTGTTATTACGGAGCTGTATTTCCATATTATTACCCCCAGTTTTGGCGCTCTTATTATCCTATTACGGTAATTTCATGGTAATAATACTCAACTGTAACTACTGTTGCTACCATTATATTACCTGCATATTAAGTGGTTATTACTTTAGTAATTGCATAGTAACGAGTTAGAAATTACCATATTATTACTCTTGTTACCTACTATTACCCCTTTATTACTGAGCTGTAATAGCAAGTGCTACCAATTCTTGACTTTTAATCTTCTTGAAATAAAAATCTCAAATGCAATGAGGATTCAATACAGGCAGGATATTTTGGCGCCATGTTTGATGTGTATTTAAAATGGTTTAACAATTCATTGACTGAGACACGCCTTAGATGAAGGAGCAACTAAGAATGTTCTAGAGAAGCTGCTAGCTGACCTTTGAGTTCAGAGAGAGCAAATGCAGGTAGAAGTCTCTGAGAAGGAAATGGAGCCAAGCTATGAAACATAAAAAGCTTGTAATCAGATGAATTAAGGTAAAGTAATTCAGTGTTATTCATGAGATGCTGTAGCCCAGCACAAGGTCCAGTGTAGTTGGCTTTTGACTGACTTTTCAAGATTAAATGTCTCAAACATGGTGATTAAAACGAGCAGTAAAGCTAGAAAAAGAAGAAAGAGAGCAAAGGTAATTATGTGTGGTTGTTATTACAAACGATAGCCGTCCCACCCCCATATTTGAGTTGCTAGGCATGAGTAGTTAGGGTGGCCTCTCTTTGTCAGCGGGATGTGGTATCCCATCCTTTGGCAGGACTCAGTGATGAAGAAAAATCAATGTTGTGAATAAAATACATCTTTGGGACCTCATTAAGTCAACAAAACAAAGAAAAAACAAAACCTAGTAGAAAAACTAGAATCGGTGATAAATACAGCTGAAGGTTGTGATGGCTTGCATAAAAAACTGAGTTAGCTACTGAAACAGAATTATTAGGGCAGAAATGTCCACGTACAGTAAGGCAGATGCAGAGTAAATGGTGGGGGTTCAGCACGACCTTGTGAAACATGCTGAGGAGGATTGACTTGTAGGATAGGTCGTGCAAGGTTCAGGAATGTTGCAATGCAAATGGCATCATCTGTGTAAGTGGCAAATATGTTGGTCCTTCTTGATCCAAGTCTGCAGGTTATGGGGTTCAGTTAAAGCACTGGCTTAGGTAGGTCCACATAATACAGAATTATGAACTCTTTTAGATCACTTTTAGCTCCGGTGGTACCTCAGTGGACATGTAGGCTGGTAGAATAATCTTATGTCAAATACATGTATTTTCTCCAAAATGGATCAAATAAAAAATCTCAGTGGAAATATGGAAGCAAATACATTCTTCATGTCGTCTACTTTCTGTAGTTCATACGTCAGTGTTGAAATCGACACTGTGATAATGTAAAGCAGGTTCTGAATTAATGTCTTGTTAAATATCTAGATGAGATGGTATAAAACATGGTTACTTGAAAAAGTTCAAGCTATTCCTACTTGATCGGTCCACATGAAAAATAGCCTTGTTCAGCACAGACCAGTTCTTCTGCTTACTCAGCTGTACTGGACAACATTGTCATTTTTCCTATTTGGAAGCTTGCTCATGTGTGTTTCACTGAGCCTGTGTGTCTGTACATTAGTCTGACACATGTACCTTTAGGCCACTGTCTAACCGTCAGCTTTGTTTTCTAGTGATGCAGTTTCTGTTTACGCACAGCTCCTCCTCCGCTGGGTACACATCCATTCAATTCTGGCTGCATAAACATGTATTTCTCACCATTAAAGGAACATTTCACCATCAGCTACACACGTCACTATTACACAACCATTTAATTTCATTTGTAAATTAAATGGTTAAGAGTTAAAATTTGGAAGGAAAGAATAAAAATTGGGAACCAATATAATGTTTAAGAATACCGAGAAGAAAAATAACGGTATTAATCCTAAAGGAAAAATGATATGCATCATTAATCATCATTGTTTTAAACTTTATGTAATACTTGTTTGTTCGTTTCTTTGGGGATTTTTGTTTTTTTTGGGGGGGGGGTCCCAGAAATATAAGAAATCCCCAAAATACTGCCTTTTTAATAAAGGCAGTAAATTTCTAAATGAGCTAGAAATATGATGGATTGATGCTTTCCACCTTAAAATTCTGTAAATGCCAAAATAGGATAAACAACTGGTGTAGCTGGTGTATTTCTTTCATGGTGAGTTGATACATATCTTCCTTTTCTTGTGCAGAGTTGTACAGAAACCTAAACACCAAGTGCTTATTTTGCAAAACTTTTTGCCACAAGGCTGTTTAACTTATTCCTGTCTCCATTCTGAATTCCAAATGGGATCTTCTCTTGCAAGTTTAACGTCTTGCACATTTAGTACTAATTAACAAAAAGCACCATCAATAAAAGTAACAAGCAAATGTTCTCTTCCAGGACCACAATCGAGCTGAGTACGAGTTCCGGGTCATGCAAAAGAAAGTGAAACTGGAACATTCGGACTTGATGGTAAAATTAAGTCAATTTTTTTCTGACAAAATCTTTTCATGTTTCCAGTGCTTTATGAAAATATGGATATTGGATATATCACAATTTTATTTACATAGACAGTTGCTGATTTAAAAATAGTGTTGGTTCAGTGGTTGCTGTCACGTCACCTTTTCCCAAAGTTCGAATTGATGCATGTTAGGTTAACTGGTTATTCTAAATTGCCATTGGATGTAGATATAAGCACATATGATAAAGCACTGTGTGGGAAATGGTCAATGTGGGTTTAATGTAAATCACTATGTAATATGTTGTGTTCTGCTATGTAATGACCTGCAAGCCACAGAGGTCACTACATAGTCAGAATCAGAATCAGAATCAGAATACTTTATTCATCCCGAGGGAAATTAGGGGTTACAGCAGGCAGCACGCTAATGGCGCATGCGCACTCACAAAGGAACCTTCTGACCAACTATACACAAACATCACATTGGGCAGACATGTCAGAAGGTAGGCTGATAGGAAAAAACAACGAAAATACATTACACGAGGTAAGAGGAGGAGAAAAAAACTCCACTCAGACTGAGCTCCTTAACTGGTTTTCTGAGTACAGCCTGATTTAATCTAATTGGTTGTTAATGATGTTGCTTTTGAATAAAGATAAGGCTCAGAGTGTAAGATATCCTGAGCCCCCCAAAAAATCCTTGTTATATCAAGGACACACCTTTTTCATCCTATAAACATGGAGTCATCTCAGCATCTTGACCCAATTTTAAGTCACTCAAATGTGACACTACAGCTGAGGGCAGAATTAACTCTGCTCCACTGGAGCCACTGATTTGTGTCTATGCTTGTTATATGTGCTTTGTGCAACTCCATGACCAGTGCATAAAGGGCTGCTACTGAAAGACAGAAATAAGGCAGTGGAAGGGGAATTGCACATACTAACAGAACATCTGCATCAGGTCTTAATGCCCTTCATTGTGTGTGTGTGTGTGTGTGTGTGTGTGTGTGTGTGTGTGTGTAGGATGAAAAGGTGAAGCTGACATGTACAGATAGGCTGCCTGCTTACATGACTACTGTGGTCATGATGGGTTTTATGGTGAGTACCAGTAGTCTCCCACTGTGTTCACCAACATGTGTTTCTGAAACATGAGTGATGATGTCATTGTCCCATATTATTTCTGTTTCTGGCAATACTACGTTGAAAGGTTTTTGTAAATGAGAAAGGCGAGAATATAATGTTACTGCACAAGTTTTAAGATTTGGACGACAATAATGTGCTTAATCACAAAATGAATTCAGGCTCTTATTAATTGAAGTATTGACAATATATTTGCCTACAAATACTTGAAGATAGGCACACTTCAATACATGGGGGATATTAAACCTGCTTCTTTGGTCCCCATGATAGAACAGAGAAAACCCGACTCAGTGGTCAAAACATTTATAATTCTTTATTCAATCATCAGAAGAGAGAGCCCTGCACAGCCCAAAGCCAGCTGCAGAATCTCTGACATTAGAAGCTAAACATGTGTCTCATATAGATGTTATTTTGGTCCTTGTATGTACTAGTTCCGCTTTTCTGTCTGGTTTCATGTATTCATATACCTCTGCAGCTCTACCCTAGACTACCTGTTTTTCAGTCTGGCTAAGCACTTGGTTTATCAAAAGTGGCCTTACTTTACAAATCTTCATTATTAAAGTACATAAAAACAATATAATAAGAAAATAAGCACTAAGAATATATTAATTACATGACAGTGACAAGTCAGTTTTTACAGAAAACAACTGTGAAAACTGTAATTTAGCAGAAAAACAAGTATTTCCTCATCTCACATCATAAATATGCTGTAGTTTCTGGGCAGGAACTATATTATGGAGGCGATTCATTGTTCATGCGTTTACAGCTTTAATAGTCAGTGTTTATATGCTTGATGGATGTTTTATTAACCCCTCATTTTATCAACGTAAATGTGATAAATGCTGTTCTACCCTACCAACTTACAAGAAAAATGAATACCATAAAAATGTCCTGGCTGATGTGACCTTATAACAATAAAGCCAAGTCTAACTTTTTTTAAATACATTTCACTGTTCAAACATAACTTTCAAAAGTGTTTCCTGTCCTTTAAAATACCTGGACCTTAGGCAAGGTTAAGCCACTCAAAACATGACCTGAAACGCGTACTTGCAGTTTGAAAGTTTTATTTCTCACATACACAATCATACACAGTATGACATACAGGGAAATGCTTATTGTTGTGCAATCAGTTTGACAGTGAACAAAAACAGTTATTGGTCATTATTTTGTTATTAAGTGCATGGAAAGTGTCGAGAGCCCAGTCTTACATGTTTCCCACCCTCACTGACTGGTGAGGATCCACTGACAGTGGTCCTAGTTGGTGAAAAGAGCTGAGGGGATTATACTACTGAACTACGGAAACTTAAAATGTTATTATTGTAAAATGCAGGAAGTTATACACTACTTACATGGTTAATGGCGTGATTTTTATATAGCACTTTATACAGCATGGCATGCAGACTGGAGCAGCCAGGGATCTAACCACCAACCTTATGATTGGTAGATGGCCTGCTCTGTCTAGTAGTGTGTTAGCATTCTCTTTTGCCAATCTCGAAGAAATTGTAGACATTTTACCTTTAGCACCACTTTCAGTCATTAATCCTTAAAGACAATATTAACTCCTCCTCATGCCAGTGTCTTAAAAGTTGTTTTTTTTTATACCACTTAATAAATGCAAGTACATTCCCATAACAAGGTCCTTAGAATTACAAGGTCATCAAACAACTTGGCTATGGAGCATACATTACCTTTGCAAAGCACTTTATAGGGTATTTATTATGTGATTATGTGGAATGAAATGAAGGCTGTGATTGAATATGCTGTTGTATGAAGATGTGGGTATTTAATAATAATAATGGATTGCATTTATATAGCGCTTTTCTAGACCCTCAAAGTGCTTTACAATGCCACTATTCATTCACTCTCACATTCACACACTGGTGGAGGCAGCTACAGGTGTAGCCACAGCTGCCCTGGGGCAGACTGACAGAAGCCAGGCTGCCATATCGCACCATCGGCCCCTCTGACCACCACCAGTAGGCGGTAGGTGAAGTGTCTCGCCCAAGGACACAACGACCGAGACTGTCCCAGCCGGGGCTCGAACCGGCAACCTTCTGATTACAAGACGAACACCCAACTCTTGAGCCATGATCGCCCTTAATAAATGTGTCTTCTACAAAAAACTGGAATCAAAATACTGAACATAAGCTGCTACTGAAATTTCATCAAGACCAATCTAAATGCTTCAATATGGTGGTTAGGTTAACTGGTGATTTTAATTTGCCCCTCAATATGTGTTAGATAAAGCATGCAGAATAATCCACTATGTGCTTAGAATAGAATAGAATAGAAAAGAATAGAATTCAACTTTATTGTTATTGCACATGTCACAAGTACAAGGCAACGAAAAACTGTTTGCATCCATCCAGAAAGTGCTTTAGACATAATATAGATATATTACAGAATGGGTCTATTATAGGTATGTTACAATGTACACGGTATTAAGGTATGTTATGAATATGCTATAAGTATATGTACAGGCTATGAACAGGATATAAATATGAAACTATACAGAAATATGAACTATGCAAGTTGTAAACAGAATGATTGTCTGTACAGCATTTACAGTAGTGCAGTTAAGAAATATGTGGATTTCCACAGAGGTATATAAAGTGCTGGTGGTTGTGAGTGGTGGTTCAGTCCATGTTGTTATTGTGTGTTTGAGGGTACAGTTGTCCATTTGTTTGTTTTTGTCCATTTTGTGTGTGTTCAGTTATAGGTGGTTGTGTGTGTTCAGTCCATGAGTTTAATGTGGGTCAGATGTCAGGAGGCAGAGCTTGAGAGGGCTGTAAGACTAGAAAAGGGCTCTCAAAAAGGCCTGTCCATTAAGTTGTCACTAGAGAGTTTTTGATGTAAGGGTCCTTGGAAAGGGACTTGATCCCCTAGAACGCAGAGCGAAGATCATTCTCTGGGAAGTTGGGTTTGTTTTGGTCTCACGGTGTTCACTGTGTGCCGCAGGGTCAGTAGCTGAAAACCAAGCTTTTTCCGTGTGGACGCATTTAACCAACACAGTTATTAATTCTGCCTCTCTTGTATTTTAGATAATTGTGACGTTTGTTATAGTCTTTGGAGTCATCCTGTACCGGATTAGCATTAGGGCAGCGCTGCACATGAGCAGCCACCCTGTAGTTCGGTATAATATCCGAGCCACAGTCAAAACCACTGCTGCCATCATCAACCTCATCATCATCATCATCTTGGATGAAATCTATGGAGCCATTGCCCGCTGGCTCACTAGACTGGGTGAGGCACATTTTGTTGGATTGATGTTCTTACCAAATATTATTTTCTTCCTACTGTTTGTAGTAGTATTTGTATGCCACACAAAAGGACTTTAGAACACAAAGTGTCATGATAGGCTGTGTGCAGGAAAGGACCCAATCGCAGGACTCTCAAAGACAGGACTTAACTCAAAACGCAGCATCTGTTGCTGGAAAAACTCCTCATAAATAAAACTGAAACAAAACAAAACTCTGCACATAGGAACTGAGCCACTAAACCGGAGTACAAGCCAAAACACACAGCACACAGAGGGTAGCAACATTAATGACGTGACAGAGAGCAAAGAGAAACACAGGGCTTATGTACACAGAGGGATAATCAGGGAATGGGAAACAGGAGACGCAGCTGGGAGAAATTAGGCCTAACGAGACAGGGGGAAGCCGAATACACTGACATAAGACATGGACCTTCAAAGTAAAACAGGAAACAAGAAACAAATAACAAAGACGCAGACGTGACACTGAACTAAATCTAGAACAATAATAATCAAAACAGCACAACTAAAGAATCAGAACATAAATCCTAATACAGAAAAAACACCAAAATATAAGAAACAGGAAATGCTGGGTCAAAATGACCAAGAGCCATGACACAAAGTCTTTCTTTTTATCAGTCCTTTTTAATTTGATTATCTGAAGTAGGTTGTGGTGGCAGGAGGGTGTTCCTGGTACCCTTTTCTCCAGCAGTGTTTTCATTAATCCTGGGCAGAAATACCAATCCCCTTCCAGACCACATGAGAGATAATAAAGAGAATTATGGGTCTTCTCTTAGTTTGGTGTGCATGGTAAACATGCCCAAATCTAGCCATTATGGACATGCAACAATTACTCTGAGCTGCCTTAAAAGTTCTCTAAGCCCGAGCGCCACCTTAATGAGGCGAAACGTTGTAGCTTCTCGTGTCCATGATATCTTTCTTTCAGACATTACCTTGAGCTTGTGGCCAAACGTGAGCGCTAGAATATCTTCAGCTCAACAGTCTAGAACAACAGCTGCATTAGTGCAGATGTCATTCCACCTTCTCATTGTTTGTTTAGACATCTTTAAATTTGCTTGGGGCTGCAACAGCCCCCACAAATGTGGAAACCATAGAAAGCCGAGGATGTCTCATCGACAGTACAGCATTAGTCCTATAGATTGCTACGTCAAGCACCATTTATGCAATCTCAGACTAATGTCCCCGACATAGGACGAGAATGGCATCTTAGGAGAGTCTAACACTACATCGACTGTGCGCTTTTTCAGAGGTTCCAAAGACGGACAAGAGCTTTGAGGAACGCCTCATCTTCAAGACTTTTATCTTGAAGTTCGTCAATGCCTTCACACCCATTGTCTACTTGGCCTTTTTCAGGGGCAGGTAAAACAACAGTTTCACACATAATTTAGTTTCAGATCATTTTAGTCAAACTAAACTGGACTGTAGGGAAATCAAGCACTATAATGTGTTACTGACAATGCACACACAGCTTTATCCAACTCACTGTTGTCTGCAGATGTTTTGCTGGAAGAAGGAAACATGATGATTCTGTAAAGTCAATGCTTTCTTTGTCAGACTTTGTGACTGTGGTTTTGTTTTTATAGGCTTGTTGGGAGGCCTGGAAACTACTTGTATGTTGTTGGGTCTTACAGGATGGAAGAGGTAATCCACTTTAAATATGCTCAAGAGAAGAGAGGGAGGGAATGGAGCCAGTTGTCTCTAGATAACAATTAACAGCTAGATTAGATGGTGCTTTATGATGACTAAGAGCACACAGTCACCTTTATTTTTAGTTTAACATTCTCATATAAAGATTAAGGGGAAAAAATCCTGGTAACTAAGAGTAAGTTAAATTTTACATTTCTTTTCTCAAATGGTCTGTTTCGAATGTTTCACTATTGTCTGTTTCTACATTTGTTCACTGTCTCTCCTACAGTGTGCCCATGCAGGTTGCCTCATGGAGCTGTGCATTCAGTTGTGCATCACTATGCTAGGCAAACAGCTCATCCAGAACAACTTGTTTGAGATTGGCTTACCGTGAGTGCAAAACAGAGACTGCAGCAAGCTCAAAAACACACTTGAACACAGATTGAATGAGGGATCAGCATCAAATCAAATCAGTTTTATTGACACGTTACATGTGCTGATACACTGGTACAGCACACATGAGTGAAATTCTTGTGTGCAAGCTTCACAAGCAACAATGGTGTGCACAGATCCCACTGTGTGGGTTCAGTAAGTCACAGATCACATAATGCACACCCACTCAGTTATGTGTATGTCTGAGAATACTGCTCGTCTAGTTTTCATCTACATTTCCCTGGAAACCAGACAGCACCTTGCTGAACTGTAAGCCTGTAGTCTGCTCAGCCTCTCTGTGCACATACACTGTGACTGAGGTTTATGCCACATGTTTGGCTCTTCCAGCAGTGTTAGACATCCAAATTATCATCCCTATCAATTAAGAACTCAAGATTTTGAAGAATTTACCACTTATCGTAGTCGTAGTATTCATAATAGAGTTCCTGTATTTGTCCAAATGTGGTTAATAATCTCCCAAATTTTGGGATACATAATCCATTAAGTTAAGGAGAAATCTACAACAACGACAAAAATCAAAGATGCGCATGCATTTGCACAATAACACTTTAAAAACTGAGTGATGCTTTTACAAATCTCATTGTGTAATTTCTTAATGGATTGTTGGGATTTGCAGGAAGCTGAAAAAAATGCTCCGCAAGAGGAAGTCAGAAATGGTTTCCATTCAGGAGCCAGTGCTGCATAAACCTCTGAAACGCTATGAGAAGGACCAGCTCCTGGGTCCATTTGTTGGCCTCAATCCAGAGTACATGGAAATGAGTAAATAAGTTTCATCACTTTTGTTAATCATGTTGTTAGCAAATAAATAAATTACCTGGTTTGCACTAAATGCATTTAAAGAGTAGTGGTGGACAAAGACGAGCAGAGCAAATAAAGTTTGTTTCTGACATACCTGATTGAGATCAAACTACAGTTACAAGAAACTCAGTAATAATTTTAACATTAGGAGGCAGCCAGAATCTCGTGACTTTAAACATGGCATGCTTAAACAGAAATAGGTTTTCACAACTGTCCACTGTCAAAATTAGCTTTCTTTTCATTTTTAAAGAAATTCTGAAGGAGTTTTTTTATCATGCTTATTTATAGATGTTAAAAATAGTTTTCTGTATTAATTTTCTTTCACCCAATCGAGGATGAGTCATTGCTAAATGCTGTTCTATTTGTCTGTTTTTTCCCTTTTCCTGTAGTAATCCAGTTTGGGATGGTGACTCTGTTCGTGGCCTCCTTCCCTCTGGCGCCGCTCTTTGCTCTTCTGAATAACATAATTGAAATTCGTCTGGATGCTAAGAAGTTTGTTACCGAGCTTCGCAGGCCTATTGCAGCTAAAGCCAAAGACATTGGTTCGTTTCTTTTATCCCTGTGTGAGATTAAACCCTCTTAAAATTGCAGTAACATCTGCTGTTAAGAAATGTGTTTTACTAATGTTACAAAAATATAAACCCAGTACAAAAAATCCACACAGACTGAAAACAGCACACTAAAGTAGCACATTGCAATTGCTAATAGTGCTCGTTTGTGTATTTTTCTTTTGCAGCCTTTAGTCAGTTTAATCAATGAACTAAATTAGCACTCTGTTATTCAGACTTCAAGAAAGTATGCCCTAAGATGTCTTCAACAGCATTTCTTTCATTTGGGTGAAAAAAGAGGCGAATTTGCAGTACAGTGTCCCGACAAAATGAAACTAAATACATGTATCCTCACCCATCTGTCCTTGGAGGTGGCCCCCATCCCATGAACTTGTTTCTGTCAGTGGTTTATTCCTGTTAAAGGCAGTTTCCCTTCCCATTGTTGTGCACTCAAAGGGGATCATCTCATTGTTGAGGTTTCCTCTCTGTTATTGTAAGGTCTATAGCTTACAATATGAAAAGCCTCAAGGTGACTGTCCTCGTGGTTTGAGTCTATATGAATAAAATACATTTCAATTGATTTCAAGTTAAATTTATGTCTCATAGTTCCTAGACTCTCACACTAGGCAGAACACATAAAAATAAGGACTGCTACATATGCCATTCTAGTAGCCTGTAACTGTAAGGAAAAAGACTCTGCTTACAGCTGAATTACACTACAGCAAACTTATCATGAAGCTAACATTGTGTAGAGTTATATGTTGCAAGACTGAAATCTCTGAAAGCTGGTTTTCTTCACGTAGAGAAGTTAAGTGACTCGATTAAGTAGCTTAATCTCAGAACCCGTCTGCAGTGGCATTTCCAATATGCAGAGAACACTCAGCACCAGTGAGTTGCAGTTGTACTAAATCACCCTGTGCAAACTCTAGTCGTGTGCATGTCGGAGCTGCTGTTTTCTCATGAATAACGGCTCTTCTGTCTTTCTGCAGGGATCTGGTACAACCTCTTGAGGGGCCTCAGCAAGGTAGCGGTCATTGTCAACGTAAGTCTTATCAGCAATCTGTATGGTTATACAATGCCAATATAAAAACAATGCCAAGGCTGTCCTGGAAAACGATTTTCACTCAGTTAGGACTGTCTAGACTACACTAGTACATTGTCTTGGTAAATCTGGGCTCATGCAAAACCCCGAGGACTTTGATAGTAGTAAGTCTACTACACATTCAGTGAACACCGGCTACAACACTTTACACAGCAGACAAGGAAGGGATCAGCTTTTTATAAGTAGCTATAAATGCCACTGGCAGAATTAAACCTGCCTGGTTTGGTGAGGCCAAATTTCATTTTAATTAAAAGCACATCATATGCTTATGAATTGAGTAATGTAATGAATGAAAACCCAGTTGCAGCAATCAGAAGACTCTAATATTAATATTGAATCGCTGTCTAACTTTACCAAAACAATGTCAGCCTCTAGTTTTCTTTTGTCCCCTCCCCAGTCGGACTAGGAGTGACACGTTTAGCCACATTATAACTCTCAAAACTCAAACTCTCTTAAAGCAGTAACTTATAAGCTGGAGAGGAAATGGTGTCTCACTAATTTAGAAGATCATCATTTAGCCTGGAAAAGTATTTTCCTGCTTTATAAGAAAGCCCTCTGCAAAGCCAGAACATCTTACTATTCATCACTGATTGAAGAAAATAAGAACAACCCCAGGTTTCTCTTCAGCACTGTAGCCAGGCTGACAAAAAGTCAGAGCTCTTTTGAGCCAACCATCCCTTTAACGTTAACTAGTAATGACTTCATGAACTTCTTCACAAATAAAATTTTTATCATTAGAGAAAAAATTACCAGTAATCATCCCACAGATGTAATATTATCTACAGCTACTCTTAGTACCATTGATGTTAAGTTAGACTCTTTTTCTCCAATTGATCTTTCTGAGTTAACTTCAATAATTACTTCCTCCAAACCATCAACGTGTCTTTTAGACCCCATTCCTACAAAACTGCTCAAAGAAGTCCTGCCATTAATTAATTCTTCGATCTTAAATATGATCAACCTATCTCTAATGATCGGCTATGTACCACAGGCCTTCAAGCTGGCTGTAGTTAAACCTTTACTCAAAAAGCATCTCTAGACCCAGCAGTCTTAGCTAATTATAGGCCAATCTCCAACCTTCCTTTCATATCAAACATCCTTGAAAGAGTAGTTGTCAAACAGCTAACAGATCATCTGCAGAGGTTTATTTGAAGAGTTTCAGTCAGGTTTCAGAGCTCAGCACAGAAACAGCTTTAGTGAAGGTTACAAATGATCTTCTTATGGCCTCTGACAGTGGACTCATCTCTGTGCTTGTCCTGCTAGACCTCAGTGCAGCGTTCGATACTGTCGACCATAATATCCTATTAGAGCGATTAGAACATGCTGTAGGTATTACAGTGAAAAAAGTATTAGTCTGGTAGGATTTGTAAAGAATTTATTCGTAAATCAGGGTGGAAAATAAGTATTTGGTCAATAACAAAAATACAACTCAATACTTTGTAACATAACCTTTGTTGGCAATAACAGAGGTCAAACGTTTACTATAGGTCTTTACCAGGTTTGCACACACAGTAGCTGGTATTTTGGCCCATTCCTCCATGCAGATCTTCTCGAGAGCAGTGATGTTTTGGGGCTGTCGCCGAGCAACACGGACTTTCAACTCCCGCCACAGATTTTCTATGGGGTTGAGGTCTGGAGACTGGCTAGGCCACTCCAGGACTTTCAAATGCTTCTTACGGAGCCACTCCTTTGTTGCCCGGGCGGTGTGTTTTGGATCATTGTCATGTTGGAAGACCCAGCCTCGTTTCATCTTCAAAGTTCTCACTGATGGAAGGAGGTTTTGGCTCAAAATCTCACGATACATGGCCCCATTCATTCTGTCCTTAACACGGATCAGTCGTCCTGTCCCCTTGGCAGAAAAACAGCCCCATAGCATGATGTTTCCACCCCCATGCTTCACAGTAGGTATGGTGTTCTTGGGATGCAACTCAGTATTCTTCTTCCTCCAAACACGACGAGTTGAGTTTATACCAAAAAGTTCTACTTTGGTTTCATCTGACCACATGACATTCTCCCAATCCTCTGCTGTATCATCCATGTGCTCTCTGGCAAACTTCAGACGGGCCTGGACATGCACTGGCTTCAGCAGCGGAACACGTCTGGCACTGCGGGATTTGATTCCCTGCCGTTGTAGTGTGTTACTGATGGTGACCTTTGTTACTTTGGTCCCAGCTCTCTGCAGGTCATTCACCAGGTCCCCCCGTGTGGTTCTGGGATCTTTGCTCACCGTTCTCATGATCATTTTGACCCCACGGGATGAGATCTTGCGTGGAGCCCCAGATCGAGGGAGATTATCAGTGGTCTTGTATGTCTTCCATTTTCTGATGATTGCTCCCACAGTTGATTTTTTCACACCAAGCTGCTTGCCTATTGTAGATTCACTCTTCCCAGTCTGGTGCAGGTCTACAATACTTTTCCTGGTGTCCTTCGAAAGCTCTTTGGTCTTGGCCATGGCGGAGTTTGGAGTCTGACTGTTTGAGGCTGTGGACAGGTGTCTTTTATACAGATGATGAGTTCAAACAGGTGCCATTCATACAGGTAACGAGTGGGGGACAGAAAAGCTTCTTACAGAAGACGTTACAGGTCTGTGAGAGCCAGAGATTTTCCTTGTTTGAGGTGACCAAATACTTATTTTCCACCCTGATTACGAATAAATTCTTTACAAATCCTACCATGTGGAATTCATGGATTTTTTTTTCACATTCTGTCTCTCACAGTTGAAGTGTACCTCTGGTGCAAATTACTGACCTCTGTCATCATTTTAGTGGGGGAACTTGCACAATCGGTGGCTGACTAAATACTTTTTTGCCCCACTGTATTTCATGACTGTTCTGCAGTTTTGTCCTCTGAGATTAACGAATGTTAGCATGCCAGAGTACTGACAGGACTAAAATCAGAGCATATTTCTCCATTATCTATGACCTTTGCTACCATATGGCATCCCTATTAGAGCCTCCAGATCAATTTCATCCTACTTGTTGTTCCTAGAGTATTTAAAAGTAGAATGGGAGGCAGAGCCTTCAGTTTTCAGGCCCCTCTTCTGTGGAACCAGCTTCCAGTTTGGATTCAGGAGACAGACACTATCTCTACTTTCAAGATTAGGCTTCAAACTTTCCTTTTTGCTAAAGCATATAGTTAGGGCTGGACCAGGTGACCCTGAATCCTCCTTTAGTTACTCTGCAGTGGGTCTAGGCTGCTGAGAGATTCCCATGATGCACTGGGTGTTTCTTCTACAGTCACCTTTCTCACTCACTCTGTGTTTATACACCTTTCTGCTCTCAGTTATTAGTTATTATTCATCTCTGGCTCTCTTCCACAGCATGTCTTTGTCTTGTCTTCCTCCCCTCACCCCGACCGGTCATGGCTCCTCCTGCCTGAGCTTGTTTTTTTTTTTGTTGTTAAAAGAAAGTTCTCACGTCCCACTGTCACCAAAATGTTTTCTTATAAGGGTTCATATGATTGTTGTTGTTGTTTTGAGTTGGTGCTATATAAAGAAATTGAATTGAACTTTTTGTCTTCCAGGCCTTTGTCATCGCTTTCACCTCTGACTTCATCCCTCGGCTTGTCTACCAATACATGTACAGTCCTGACGGCACCTTGCATGGCTTTGTCAACCACACTCTGTCATACTTCAATGTCACTGACTTCGATCCAGGCACAGAACCTCTGCAGCCAATGCACCTGGGCTACAAGGTATCAGTATGCAGGTAAGCTTTTGCTTTCCTAGGGTCTGGAAACTGAGGCTGCTGAAGTCATCAGACGATATTCATATAATGAAGACTCAATATATCCAAACATATTCAAATTTCTCATTTATCTATTATAAAAGCACAACAACAGTTTGAATAAACTTTATGTAAAAAAGCTTTTGTGTTTTTTACTGCTAGATACAAGGACTACAGAGATCCTCCCTGGTCCAGTACGAAATATGAACTTTCCAAGGAATTCTGGGCCATTCTAGCAGCTCGCCTCGCCTTCGTTATTGTTTTTCAGGTTCGGAACAATGCACAGATAAGATCGCACAAAGCAAACAAACCATTTATGATTTAGTTTATTTCATGAAATAAGTCGTTGATAGAAATCGTCTGAACATAGCCTGTGACATCTCATTTGAAGGTACTCATTTTCCTAACCTGCTGTTTCACAGCCTTAAGTGCAGAGTACTCTTCAGTCATAAAACATTAGTATAAAAACAGGAAGTCGAGTTCTACAGTTGACTTATTGAGGTAGCTGTAATTCAGGAGTTAGAGCATATTATCTGCTAATCAGAAGGTCAATCCCTGGCTGCTCCAGTCTGCATGCCAAGACATGGCATCAGACAAGTTCCTCTCCAACGTGTCCATCAGTCTGAAATGTGTGAATGTTAGATAGAAAGCCATTAAGCATAGAAAAGGGTGTATGCAAACCTATATGAGTAAGTGTGAATGGGGGAATGAGACATGTTGTATAAAGCACGTTGAGTCCTCAGTAGTGTAGAAAAGCACTATATCAGGTCTTATTAGGTGATGAACCTGCTTCCAGGTCCGAACCACTCTGCATTTATTACGGTGTTTTTAACCTGTTTTCATGGATGCCTGCATGTTAAACTTCATAGTTACACCTGGTAGAGCAGCGACACTGATCATTTTATTAAAGATGAAAGAATTTACAGTTTTTAACTCAGTGATGCTGCAGTAGTCGTTTGATTTTGGGACCTGAAGCGAATATTTGGACCTGGAAACGTCTGATGACGTCAGACTTAAAGGACTGGATAAGAACCAGTCCATTTATTCCTTTAACCTCCTAAAACCCGAACTCTTCCACGGCAGCATTTTTAATTTCTCTTTGATATTTGGGCTGATTGGGGCCCGATGAATGTAAAAAGAAAGAATTACCTGATTTTTGTTGTTTTTTACCTGATTTTTGTTTCTAAGAAAAATGAGAGCCACGTATGAGGATATTCATTTAAATTTTGATAGAACAGTAGCAGCATAATGTCCTCGTAGGTGGACATCAGGCCCCTGTAGAGCAAAATTAAGTATTTTGGTCTAAATAACCCAAAATGTGATGTCCACATATGTGGACACAGGTCCTAGGAGGTTCAAACTAATGTTGAGTCTACACAGAGCCATATGAATTATTATGTTCCTGCCATTTTCAGCGATCTTCTCTGAACTTGTTGAACTTGTGCTTCTGTAGATTTGAGATTTCTGTAGAGCTCCTCTCATATGCTGTCTTCCTCCTCTATCTAAAAGGAGGTAAATGATATAACTATTAGTCGATTTAGCACTCTTTGCTACTTCTGTTGCAGCTGACTTGGATTAATGGTTTATTTATTGCACATTTTTATTCTTAATGTAAGAGAAGAAGAAGAAAGGTTCAATCACTAATGAGAATTGTTTTATAATGATCTGTGTTCTCTGTTGACTCTGCCCTTTGCAGAATGTGGTGATGCTTATGAGTGACTTTGTGGACTGGCTTATCCCAGACATTCCTAAGGACATCAGCCTCCAGATCCACAAGGAGAAGATCCTAATGGTGGAGCTCTTTATGAAAGAGGAGCAGGGGAAAAGGTTTGCAGCAAGAGACAACCAAGACAACTGCACAGTTCCTCTGTCAGCTAATCAGAGGCCACCACAGCCACGCTCACGCCCTGTTTCACAGGCAAACTGCTCCTAACCTGTTGGTTGGTGGGAAAAGAATCACAAATGGCAATAAGCAAAACAAATTCTTACTGAGCTGTTAGAGCGGTCTGGTTAAGGTACAAGCTAACTGTGTAAAGTCCACATTAACAGTCAGTTTTGTAATATCAGTAAAGGTTTTGCTGCACTTGCATGTGACATTTTCCATCTTAGACCACTAACCATAAATCCTCAACTTATTTTACCAACTTCTTCTTTATTGGATGTAAACAAGGAAAGACAAAGCCATTCAGCCTTCAGCCTCTCTCTTTAACCCATTCTCTACTCAGCAAATGGAACCTGTCGGCTTTACAGAGCCCAGAAGAAGTGATTCAAACTCTAAAACAATTTACAGCATTTCAGGTGCCATTTTATTTATTTGAAGATTTTGCCAAAGAAAAACATTTTCCACTACAGCCGCTCACACTTTGCAATTCAAGCTATTATTTTGCATAGCTAGCTATCAACTATGAGTAAGTCAATGTCTTGGTGCATTTTCTTAATTACTAGTGTAGAGTTTGTGTGCTAATAAGGGAAATGAAATATAGTAGTAAGTGTTTGCGGTGTGCGTGTTATTGTGTTTTTAAAATGTGGAGTGTCAACGAGACAAGAACTTTGCATTTTTTTAAGTTGTTGATGTCTCTGAAAAGTAGGACCAGTGTATCACATAAAGTCACCACAGGAACAGGTTCGAACCCGGTCAAAGCGTTACGAAGTTGTCTGCCTTAAATCACTCAACTCCTCAACAGATTTCCAGCATGAGATGATCATCTTTCTGTCGACAATGATCATTCACCATTTTTCATATATTTGTATTTAAAAACATTACCTTGCAACAATTTTTAAAGCTGCAATTCCAGCTTTTTAAGCACAAAGCATGAATAACGTTGTCTTTTATATTTATTCAATGAATTAGTTTCATGAATCCGTAGGTGACCAGGGATCTACTAACTTTAGCAACTTTCTAAAAATGTATTATTGTTGTCCCAATTTGAATTCATAGTTTTTTAAACAAGAAACTATAACTATTCTTATCACTAACGGTGTAACTTCTTTCTGAGCTGTGACAAAAACTGCACATTTTAATTTACCAAATAATTTTCCCATTAGTAATCTCTGGCTTAGTTGGTTAGTAGTCATAGTCATTAATAGAGCACATGTACGGGGTAGTAGTGCCTTTGTTAGCTTCATTTCTTTCCATCACAGCCTTTTATAACTTTGTAAAACCTGATGTCGTACATGAACACCCTCTTTGGATTGCCCTGATGAGATCATATTCTCCTGTTTTCAACACTAATGAAACAACAAATGTAACATCCTAGTATTTAAACTAATGTGTGTCAGTGCACATTCATGGCTGTCTTTGATAACTTGTCTGTTTATTATTTATATTTACTGCAAAATAAAGGGTGAATGTCCTCAAGTTGTTTTATGCGTTGAGTAATTTCACATCTTTTGCACAGAGTCAGGGTAGATTTGGAGTTTGTATTATTTGCTCAAGTTGTGACTGCACGAGTCAGCAGAGGCAGTTTGTGTTAGATAATAGTTTTATTTGTTTTTAGTGAGGTTTTTGAGTTGATATTAACTGATGTGCATCACTAATAAAGCTATGTTTAATACCTTTATGATATATATATATAAATAATTTGTGTGTGTGTGTGTATAACAGACGACTGAATTGTATCTGTAGGTACTTTGTTACTATAGCAGCCTTTTACAAAACAGTTTGTTCCAACTTCTTTAGTTAAACCCATGAATAATGACTAACTACTAGTATATTATTTTATTTTCCAACTTAAAATTCTGTTTACATGCTACACTGTGTGCGCTTACTTTACATATGGGTGAAGTAGCTAAGTTATGCTTTTTGGGGTCAATCTTGGGAGCACTGTCTGCCACAGCACAACGTTACCATCGCATTATTAAATAATAATTGTAACAACACGTGATTCTATCACAACTGTTTACTTCAAAGAAAAGTCTTTGGCGGTCTGAGCCGCTGGGATCAGCGGACCAGCTCCCGTGCGCCCTCGGATCTAGCATAACCGTAACACCGCTCAGCAGACGGGCATGCTTACGGCAAACCTCCCCCATCCCCGCAAACACACTCCTCGGTGTTGTACGTGTGCCGTGTTTCCATTGGTTATTGGTAAGCGGAAGTTTAACAACAGACACGCCGGATAGACGTAACTCACCGAAATGAAAGTGAAAGTCAGCCGCCCAGAGGCTGTCCTGTGTTTGTGCTCGATCCTGTCGACATGAGCGCCTTACAGTTTAACAGCGTTTTGTTGGAGATCTCTAACGCCATGTCTGCTGATCAGCTGAATGAAATGAAGTTCCTGGTTCTACAAGAGATCGGGAAAAGAAATCTGGAAAAGATCGGCAGCGGCCGGGAACTCTTTCAGCTTTTCAGGGAAAGAGGCAAACTGTCAGAAGATAACACGGCCTTTCTTTCAAAGCTTCTCAGAGAAATTAAGCGACAAGATCTCTCGGACAAGATAGACAACTTCAGTATTCAGCCTGAAGCTGACGATGGCCTGAGTGAGGAGGAGAAAGGTACGACATGAACGTGTTCGTGTGAGCACAGTCACAGTGTGGGGAGACAAGAGCAACGATAACAACAGTAATAATAATGCACGTCTGCAGAGTATCGTGCTCCAAAGTATGGACGCTGATTTATACAGAAAACGAGTGACTTTCACTTTAGACACCAGCATGTTTGATTGTATCAACCGCAGACTCGAGAAACACGGCTGGAGCCTTCCTCATTCAGCGCCAAACATTCAAATATTCTTTTTAGGCAATAAAACATGTCGTCTCACAAGCTTCATTTGAGTTTTATACAAAGAGTGCCGAAGGATGCACTGGGTTCCTGTGACTGGGCAGAGCTAGCCATTTATTCTGTCTGAGCTTCCACCCATGCTTAACACAGCTGACCACATCTGTGAAGTCGTCTGGTCATTGGAGGGTAAAGGATGCTGTCACAGTGCAGTATGAAAGCTGCTTTGTTTAGCAGTCACACACTTACTCCTGCCACCAATTGCAAAGAGAAAAAAGAGAAAATGAAAAGTTCTCAATCCTGAAATCTTTCGACCAAAAATGTATTCAGAAGCCTGAGACACTGTTTTTGTGTCGTTCAGTATAAAATCACCCAAATGCCACAATAGTTTCCAGCTGACCTCAAAATCAAGAAATTGTTGTAATGTACAGTAACTTTAGCTTTTTGACGTATTTAACTACGTTTATGGTGTAATTAATCTTTATTTTTTAATTAAGACGTGCCAAAATCTTGTGTTCTTATTAGTAAAAAAGGCCCTGGATGTACCAGGACAATGTTTATCACAAGACTCTGCAGACTAAGTGCACCTCACGATCCAGGGACTTGTGGAACCGTGTTCAGCAGCAATAACGTGAACTAATGGTTTTCTGTTTGACTTTCAGTGTTTCACATAATTGTAGAGGAAGTCTTCCCCACTCTTCTTAACAAAGGTTGTGGAGGCATTAATTTACTCTTAGCTGTCCTAACGTCACACCACAGTGTTAGTTAGTTAGGTCGAGGTCTGGACTTTGACTTTTTCAGTGTTTTTCTAACTACACTGACTTGTAACATTTTTCAGGCCTGTAGAGTGGGTTATGGTGTCTGTGATTTTGGGCTAGGACACACATAAATGATCAAAAAAGTTTTGGTTTTACAGCGTTTGTCACATCTGCTGATATTCAATTAATCACATTTGATGAGCAGCACCTGTCTCTTAATTTTTATGAAATTGGTAAGGATGCACTTGTGCTAAAGACGTTTATGACACTACTACCCCAGGTTGTAGAGAGAAAGAAAACCCTACCTCACGACCCTCTAAGCGAAAGCATGTAACGACAGTGGGAAGGAAAAAATCTGGAGCAGAACCAGGCTCAGGGAGGGGCGGGGCCATCTGCCATGAACAGTTGGGGGTGAGTGGAGAGAGAAGAGAGCCCAGACACACAGCTTAAAAGATGCTCATGGGAGAGAGCCAGAGTTTTAACCCTCTCAGGCCCAATTAAGTTTTTTGTTGCTAATGCACAACCAAGTCCTGCAGTGGTACTTCTGAGTAAAGCAACTCATAAAATATGTCTGTGGGGTGATCAGGTTGTTAGTTCTTAACGGTTGCAAATCTGCAACGTCTGCCTGGAGAGGGTTAAAAACCTGCTGGGGGGAGTTTGTCCTTCCCACTGTCGTCACGTGCTTTCTCTTAGAGGGTTGTGAGGTAGGGTTTTATCTCTACATACAACAAGCCAGATTTGCACTGTTGTATGTATAGCCATAAATACATCAAGAATGTATTGTATTGTCTGCAGACTTATGCCGTCTGCAACAGTCATTGACTAGATAAGTGGAATTATAAGTAGGTCTTTACGCAGGGAGTTTTAGATAGGCTTGTTTCTAGTTGTCCCTGTTTGGGGCCACGTTTCATTGTTTCCTGGTAGGGTGTTTAGATGGCTGCCCTGGTTTCCAGAAAGTATCTTAAAGTTGAATCTTTACCCATATCAGAAAAATGTTCTATATTTAACCTGTTAATATGTTTTTCTCCTTTGCAGAAAAACTGAATATTGCCACAGAGGTAATTGCCGAAAATCTTGGAAAGAGTTGGCGAAAACTAGGCCGCAAATTAGGTTTGAGTGAAACCAAGCTGGAGTCCATCTCTAACAGGCGTCCAACAGATCTCGAGGAGACGGCAGTGGAGCTGCTCAAGGAGTGGAGGAAGAGTCAAGGAGCTGAAGCCCAAACAAAGATGCTGATAGATGCTTTGAGAGCTTGCCAGTTGAATATGACTGCTGATAAAGTAGAGGAAAGACTCTAGCAACCTAGAATACACTCTTAAATTGAAAATTGTTGCTCAAGGAAATGGCAAACAAAAAGGTTAAAAGTCATGAAAGTAATTTGAGTGATTGATTGTATCTCTGTGTCCTGTTATCGTTATTATTAGTTTGCTGTTTGGGTCTCCTGCTTTGTGAAAGCAATGTTGCTCTCAGTCTTTCAAGGTGACAAAATTGCTCGTGATATTTGTTAATATGGCTCATATATAAAAGTGTTCAACTGTATTGAGGTACAGGATCTTCTCATCAAGCCTTCCAAAATTATGAAAGATATTTTTTATGTCACACTATTCATCCAAGATTTTGCTCTTGATTCAGAATTTAGACGAAAAGGGAAATAATTAGGAAAAGAAGCTGATTTTGGAAAGTAAAAGGAGATTTGTGTTGTTGTTCTTTTTATTCTTTGTCAACAGACAGCTTTGTATTTCAATGCCTTTGCTTGTCTAACCCAAAATATACCCCGAATCCAACTCTTTTCCCTTGTAGGCTTTGATGTCATCAAGGTGGCAGGTCCTCTGCCCAAGGTGCAGTTTCTGCAGACAAAAATGAATCTCATTAAGGGAACCTTTCTGTAAGAACCAAAATGGGACTGACAGATGATAACTGTGAGACAGTGGGAAGGAAATATTGCCTTTAGCAGGAGGAAGGCTCGGGGACTTACCTGTTGGGAGTGAGGGGAAAGAGAAAAGCAGAAGCACACAAAATAAAAGGCATGAGAGCCAGCGTTTAAAAGGAACGAATAATAATTCAATAGAGAGTGAAATGAGAAAGAAGAAACAACGCCCTAACTATATGCTTCAGCAAAAAAGAAAGTTTTAAGCCTAGTCTAAAGAAACCAGAGGGTGTCTGTCTCCCAAATCCAACCTGGGAGCCGTTTCCACAGAGGAGTGGCTCTGCCTCCCATTCTACTTTTAAATATCCTAGGAACCAAAAGTAAGTCTTTTCTCACTCTTTTCTGATTACAGTACTATGAAGTCTTTAAGATAGGATGGGCCCCGATTATGCAAGTAGCATTTTAAATCGAATCTGCAAAGGAATGTTTGTAAAGTTAGAGATGTTGCACAAAATTAAGCAGAAGCGTCCAACTTTTCAGCTTTTCAGGGAGTTTTTAGGAAATCCTGATAATAATGAATTACAGTCGTCCAGTCTAGAAGTAATAAATGCAGGAACTAGTTTTTCAGATTCACTCTGCAGATGTTTTTTTTATTTTAGAGATATTGCACAAATGGAAAGCAGTCCTACATATCTGTTTAATTTACACATCCTGGTCGAATATGATCTCACAGTGTTACTGTTGACGCCATCTAACGCAAATATCTGGTCAGACAGGATATTTCTTTGTGACTGTAGTTTAACAATGCCAGGATAATTAATAATAATAACTAAATGGTGTGTCTCATATTGTGTGGGATAGAAACAATTTCATGCTTAAAAACAACGAACCTTTGATTGGATGGTTCACCCTGATCTCCTTTCTGTGTGGCTCTCTGTGTAGCTACAGATGGTGCTAGCATATGAACATGAACTGATGCTAGTTTGGGTCACTTGCAGAAATCTGCATTTTCCTCTTTTGAGGATTTTCGGGACAAACCTGCTGCAGGGCAGTTCAAAAAATCCATGCATGAGACTTATTTTCATTTTACATGATATCTACCTGACTTGGTCTGCTAAAGCTTTTTTTAATTTCACTTTAATGTTGGGATATATTTCTTACACAGAATGAAGACCCAGGTTCATCCCCAAAAACTAGAGCTGAAAGTGTAAGAGGAAGGGATTTCCATGCAAGAAAGGAGCTTTAAAGACCTCCAGACTTTGTCTTTTCAGACACAGTTTGTCATTTTAAAGTTAGCTGACTTTGCAGTACAGTATCACTTTGTGTGTTTGTTGTTGCAGTATACTTACAGCACTGGTAGAGTCTGTTCAACCTATCGATATCATTTTTGCTCATCTGAGTGGCCCCGCCCAACATTACATTGCTATTAGGAATGGGCACCATAGTGGGTTGGTTGTTCTTGGAGAAGGCGTACCTGAAAACAAGTTAAGTTCATTTTTCTGGTGATTTAGCTCCTCAGTACATCATGTTCTAATCTTTGAAAGCATATTTGCACTGGTTTTACTCAACACTCTTGTATAGGACGGTATGCACAGACAAGTTATGATTGTGCACAGGCTCTGCTCTGCTAGCAGTATGCTGCAGGGACAGTTGATGGTTTCTTCATGTGAAAATAATAGGAACACCCAAATTCCTAACTTGATACATAGTTTACTTGGACTTATGTGTAAAAAAAAGTATAAAAGTAACATATGTAAATAAAAGTATGAATTTATTCTTACCTCTCATATTGCATGACAGAGTTGTAGTCATAAGGAGTTCCCTGGTTTAGAGTATCAATCTTATAGAAATTGTACACCATGTCTGTGAGAATAAGGAGATGTGTGTGCATGACGTGTGGGAACTCAAATATCTAACAAATGCACATTTTTATATTATGTATGATCATTTTAATAAAGCAGCCATTGAACCTCATCCCATTTAGGGTTGTTGTGATGAACTAATTTTAAGCTAAAAACTAAAATTATGTCTTAAAAAGTAAATCAAATCAATAAAAAATGAACTCCACTAACAATAAAAAATAACTAAAGATTTAAAGTAATAAAACATGGTTGAAAGGGCTGCACCCACTCTGGAGATAACTAAGAGGCTCTAAGCGGTAAATTGATCAGTAACTATATAGCACTTGTCTGATTTAACTAAATGCTCAAAGTGCCTTTTACTATGAGCCTCATTAGCCCATTTATGGTGGGCTACAGCCACGGTGGGGTGGATGTAGCTCAGGTGGCAGAGCAGGTCAGCCACTAATCAGAAGGTCGGTGGTTCCGTCCTTGGGCAAGACGCTTCACCCGTTGCCTACTGGTGGTGGTCAGAGGGCTCGGTGGCGCCAATGTCCGGCAGCCTCGCCCTTGTCAGTGCGCCCCAGGGTGGCTGTGGCTACAATGTAGCTGCCATCACCAGTGTGTGGATGTGTGTGTGAATGGGTGGATGACTGGATGTAGTGTGAAGCGCTTTGGGGTCCTTAGGGACGAGTAAAGCGCTATACAAATGCAGGCCATTTACACACACATTCATAAACAGCTTTATTCTAAAGTTGTATTCATCTTTGTTGACAGATTATGCTGTCATCTTTAGTTTTTTTTGTTAATTTTATTTACTGAACTTTAGCTCAGTGCAATAAAACCTTAATCTCAACCTTAATTAGACTATTTCTTTCTCTAGAACTGCTTTATGCTTTGAACTACTTTAACACAAAATCCAAATTAGCACAGAAAATGGTGACTGACCATCGAGGATGTTTTCCCAGTACACCCTGATGTAGTTGTCCCTGTCAGAGCGGGTCTGTTCGTGATTGAAGCCTAGGGCATGGAGTAATTCATGCTGGACAGTGCTGTGGTAAAGACAGCCCTGACGGCTTAGAGACACAGTTTGACCACCACCCTGGCGACCCACATAGGAGTAGCAGCTGTTAAAACAGAAAAGTCCAGCAATATTTAGAAATCACAAAAGCCTTTTGTATATCTGTAAGGCAAGTGCTGCTTTACACACCTCATAGGACAACAATAATGTATTTGAACATATGATGAATTATGTTGAATCCTTATTGTTTAAACTGGCCAGTAGTCACTCATTGGCTACTTAAAATATTAGTGGTCCCTAAAACATTTGTAATCACTTCCTTTGTAATACAGTGATTAAAGAATGGGTTTTCTTTCATTATAAACTAATGAAAGGAGGAGTTGTGATACTTTAAAATTAAAATAGAAAACTTACAATCTCTAGGTAAAATTTTAATCCTACTAACTGCATGTGGCTCACCGAAGGTGGTAAGAATAAAAAAAATGGTCAGACTCGGAGCTTTACCCATTTCTAGACTCGATGCTCAGCCACTCATGATCGCCATCCTGGTAGGGTCTGAAACGAATGCAGGAAACTGAAGAGAAGGACTCTAGTCCACGAGTGATGATGGCAATCTCACGGGAAGCTGGTAAAACATGGAATTATGTAATAAACAAAAAAATGTGAAATAACTAAAAACATGTAGATTCTTCAAAACAGCCACCCTTTGCTTTGATTACTGCTTTGCACACTCTTGGCATTCTCTCGATGAGAGAGGTTGTTAGATTTGTATTGTTGATTGTCATTTATGCTTAGAAATATTTACTCATATATGCTTAGAAGTATATAATCATTGGTGGATTGAAAGAATGTCTCATCCTAAAGAGGTCTGTATTAACTCTGTGTAGCTGTAGAAGGGAGTGCATACATTCCTCAGAGTGTCCTTGGTATAAACCACATACTCCCTAGGAGAGTTTATCAGAGGTAGTCACATAAAATGATTTCCCAACAGTCTTGAAAGAGTTCCCAGAGATGCTGAGCACTTGTTGACCCTTTTGCCTTCACTTTGTGGTCCTCATCCCCAAACATCTCCATTGGGTTTAGCTCAGGTGACTGTGGAAGCCCGGCCATCTGACGCAGCACTCCATCACTCTCCTTCTTGGTCAAATAGCCCTCACACAGCCTGGAAGTGTGTTTGGGGTCATTGTCCTGTTGAAAAATAAATGATGGTCTAACTAAATGCAAACCAGATGGGATGGCATGTTGCTGCAGGGTGCTGTGGTAGCCATGCTGGTTCCCAACAGTGTCACCAGCAAAGTACCCCCACACCATCACACCACCTCATCCATGCTTCACGGTGGGAACCATGCATGTAGAGACCATCTGTTGACCCAAACAAATCTCTTCTGCTTGTTGCTTTTCCTTAGTCGTGCTTTCTTAGCAGCTATTTGACCATAATGGCCTGATTCGTGCCGTCTCCTTTGAACAGCTGATTAACTCTAACTAGAGGTGCTGTTAACTTGTGATTTCTGAGGCTGATGACTCTTGGTCTTCCTTTCCTGGGGTGGTCCTCGTGTGAGCCAGTTTCATCGTACCATTTGATGGTTTTTGCTACTGCACTTGGGGACACATTCAATCTTTTAGCAATTTTCCAGACTGACTGACCTTAGTTCTTAAAGTAATGATGGACTGTGGTTTCTCTTTACTTAGCTGATTGGTTCTTGCCATAATATGAACTCTAGCAGTTTAGCACAACACATCTGATGGTCCCAACCCCATTAAGAAGGCAAGAACTTCCACAAATGAACCCTGACAGGCTCACCTGTGAAGGGAAAACCAATTCAGGTGACTACATCATGACGCTTACTGAGAGAAGGCCAAGGGTTTGCAGCGCTGTCAACAAAGCAAAGGGTGGCTACTTTCAACAATCTAAGATATAATAAATATTTAGAGTTATTTATCAACTTTTTCTTTGCTACATAATTTCGTATATCTTGCTTCTTATATTTGATGTCTTCAGTATGTATGTACAATGTAGAATGTAGTAAAAATGAAGAAAAAAATGTTAAATGAGAAGGTGTGTC